TTGCCCGGTGTCCATATTCATTAAAACATTATAAGATAAAAACTTATACTGATAATATTGCTTAGGAACGAAAGTTTTCTTTAATTAAAGCCGTAACGTAGTATACACTAATTACTCACCTCAAAAACGCAATTTTACCGAGAAATACGTTTGCGGGAGGCATTAGTGTTCATTTATGACTCAAATAGCGCTCGCCTTTTCAAAAAACGGTGGCGGAATAATTTATGATGCTTCAGCAAAAGATAAATCCTAAGTGGCGTAAAACATCTCTGCATTATTTATGAACTCAACCATTTAACTCGGCGGTTTTATCATTACGACCGAGCAAGATAAAACTACTTCTTCAACTTATCTGACTGGAGGTTTGTTTAAACACTTAACGAAGGGATGTCTACCTTAAAGAAGTTTGGAGTTCAACTGGTTTGCGTGGGTATCTTGGCTGGTGTTGTCACGGCCTCGGAAACTGATGATTCCAATAGGTAAGAGACCGAACCAAGCAAACCGCCATGCATAACCAAAACAAATCCTTCAACACGAACTGAATGTTTCCAGGTTTAAGCTCCCAACTCCTCAGGCTTTTGCCAAATAGAAATCAGGTAAAATTAAGATTTTAACTGTGTTATTAAAAGTTTCAAAGCGACTTATTTTTCTTTTAGTCAGTAAAAATTGGACAAATGTAGAGTTGGTATTAGACTGGGTCTGTATACTGGAACATCTGCCTTCTTTTCAAGTTAGAATTCCCGTGAGAACTTCTGAACCTTCAACGATGTAGCTGCTACGTAATTCGTTTCACACACCTTACAGTGGCGATGAAATTGAACTATCACTGAAATATCAGATCCGAAATATTATAAGTCTTCTAAACAACTACCCTTGAAATGTTTACTAGTCTTGGGTAGTGGTTAAAATACAATTAACAAAGGAAATTCGAGAGAAAGGATGGTTTTGGTAGAGGTTTAACTTAAGAACAAAGAGATGACTTAAAAAATTGTGACTTTTTCCTGCGTCTGCAAGTCCCTTTTAAAAGTTTCACAAAATAGAGATTAATTTTATAAGGCATCACGCAATCCAAGTGGTAAGAAAGTGGGAAGGGAACTCTGATAACTTTAGAGTGTCCATGCAAGGACAGATTGACGTAAAATGTCTATTCGGAAACCGACTTTGGCGATGATATCATCTTAGCAAAAGAACAAGCCGATGATCAAGATAAATTTTCAGTACCTACAGGCAATGCAAACCCTTTCTCCTTATTCGCTGAAAGAGAAATTGCAGCTGGCAAGAGCTGAATATGATAATTCTCGTTGATAAATGTCTCAAACAGTTTCTCCCCGTCATTTCGCTGACACATCATTGGCAGTTTACTTTTTCAAAATTGTCTCTTCTGGCTAGGCAACCGAAACTGTCTCCGTACAAAGTTAATCAAGTTTGCAGTTATATATATTTTCAAAGGTTTAAAAGTCGTTTCGAATTTATCACTGGCATACAGCGTCCAAGTGATCAATTCAAACGTAAAGTTAAATGTTGCTTTAACTCTTCCAATCACCAGCTTCACGTTCTGTGAGTATCCTTTTACAATATCAAAACTTTTAATTGTCAAGCTAACAGGCCGGTGTAATGAAAAGTTGCGAGAATCTTTCTACCACCAAATTTTCAGGATGAACATTTATAGAAAAGTATTGCGACAGTAAGCAATAGGATTTCCTACTTAGAGCTCCTCTTCATTGTATGTAACTAAAATCGCCTTCTTAAACTAAAGGGAAAAACGATTTTTTTCTCACTTGCACACTGAATCCAAATAAAATAAGCAAATATTTGGCTTAATTACCCAACTCAGTTGGAAGTGTAGAATATTTCCATGAACTTAATTAGTTGTTGATGAAGGTATCGAACAGCAAATTGTTCACAAAAACACTGAATTTAGACGCTCAAAACACTGATTTCACAATTTCAGTTTCCTCCTTGTTGCCTTACTTGTTCAGTCAAGACCCGTCGAAAAAGGAAGGTGACTTTCGCCTTGAATACCCCTTGTTTACAAGTTTAGCTGCGTTACCAATAACAACATGCTCTTCCAGGAGATATAGCAAAAACGTACAGCTCGATATACGTTACAATAACTCAAAGCCAAGGGCGACATCGAATAGAATCAACTTAAGATTAGCAGTAATTTGCGGCAATTATTACTTGTCAAAAT